TATATATATATATAAACCATATACATATATAGCGTATATACATACAATTGTTTATATAAATAATTGAACTATAGCAAGAGATGCTCAAAACAATCATATTACCCTATTAATATATAATACACGATGGATATCTCATCAGTCAAAGTGCTTATGTTACGCTTTTGCACGTAATTTGAAATATATAAATAACAGCTGTAATTATATACTATGCATTTTAAAAGTATCAAAAAAGTGTTCAAAAAAGGTTTAAAAAGCATACAAGTTGCCTTTTTGTCCGAATGAATAGATGTATGGTATGAAAGGGGGTAAGCAAAACTTTAGGAAAAAATTTTGCTTCTTTATTTTATGTTTTATGAAAATAAAATTGTCTTAAGGAAACAAAACGAGAAGATTCTCAAGAGATAAGTCTCTATATGCACTTAAGCTCGGCTTAAGTCTTGAATATGGTCCAAAAGCGGAATCACTAGACTGATTCCGAGTTTCATTCATCGATACAAGTATTCGACACACCAGAATCGTGTCCAGGCTGCAAACTGGACGATATTGAATAAAATCGCCGATTCTATGAGCTTTACTTATATGACGTGAAAGATCACGTTGATCTTTGTTGAGGAAGAAAACCCGTTTTCCAACTTCTCTCGCGTTTCAAGTATCCAATCAATCGGCTATCCGATATACGTTCCACGATTTAAAAATCATTCGTTAAATATGTACGAATGCATCTAGATCACAGCAAAGACCGAAAGATAGTAGCATTGGACCTCAAACTGGATCCAATATGTTTAGACATGCGCGTTTTTATACCACGAAGTTAAAGTGATCATAAAATGATGTAGCACGTTCAGTATACATTTCGACGAGAACATTGATATCTTTAAATAAAGAATTTGTTCTTCGTTATCGAATGAAGACGAAGCGATATCGAAGGTGTAGTCCAAGAATTTTCGGACTCTCATGTTTTAGATATAAAGTGGAAAAAAATCACTATTGATAATATATAGTATAACTGCGAAAATATAAAATATATATATAAGGATGTGTGCAAGGGATCGATAAGGGTGTGACGTTTGACCGATTCACAGCTTGCCTTCTTCGACGTACTCGCCGGGAGTGCGAGGACGTCGCACGAGCAGTATATTACCTAGCAGATATCTAAAGAATTAGTGCAATTGAGAAATAAGCTTTTAAGAGAATTTATTATTTCATATTTCGTAATTGTTTAAGGTTTAAGACGAGAAGAAGAATAGGATATGCGATGTCTCCGAAGAAAGGTGTGCTGATTTTGTTGCCAAAGCGAGAATTCTATCGGAGACACGATTGACAATTAAATTTTAGAGAATTATATAAGCGTACATATTATAGAACAATTGTTAAATAAAGAAATTTTATCTTTCCACACTTTATTCTAGAAATTTATTAAATGTAACAAAGTTCCTCAATTATCGAGCTATTATAACAGTCTATTTCTTTATTACTGATATATGTTATACACTTTATTTTTCTGTAGTTTTCAATTAGCATTTGTAAGATAAATTAAAAAAAATATATAAAAGATTACGAATCTCTCTTCTCTTTAATTCTCTACAATTAAATGTCAAATATTTTTCTTGATTATTGACTTATCGATATAACGAAGACACAAGAATTTCTTTTTTTCGCCAAGCCTTATAGATAAAAACGATACTTTTATCGATGCGTTTGAATTTATATTTAGAACATCGCATCGCGACAATAAAATATACGAACATCTTGTTTCATAATTGAGAAAGACATAATGAATATAACATAAACACCAATGAAATGAAAATGGTAATCGTAATAAAATTTTATCGTTTTTTTTTTCTACCAAAAGCTTTTCACGATTCAATGAAATATCAGTGAAACGAAAGATAGTTTAAAAATTCCATTTAAAAAAGATAGTTGTTGAAACATGATTATATAAATTTTTACACCAAACAGTTCTAGATATAAAAATAGTTTACTATATTTAAGTATTAAGAACAAAATATGTAAATTGTCTGTTATAAACAAAAGATATAAAAAAAATACGCGGATGATAATGAAATTTATTAACACGAAATTTGAGAGAATAATTATCATCGTTAATAAGAGAAATATTTTATTATTTTTATTACAATCCGACAATCCTGCTAATCCTCCTTGATTCTTGCTTTTCTAAAGAATCTTTTTTTTATTATTATCATTAGTCATTAGTATATACAAATATACTAATGATCAAGATGTAACCTGTATATTGTATATTTTCATATTTTATATAAAGATATTTTTTATGCTAATTTCAACAGGAAGTACATTGTACATACCATGACTATCCTTGACGATTTTATCAATAGTAATCGTTGTCATTGTTATTATTATTATTAATGATTAATAAAAGATGATAAAGTCTACATTTCTTCTGTGAAAGAACAATAAACGATATTTCTTTGAGAGAAATGGAGATTACACTTACAATTATTATGTTTACAGAATAAAGAATTCTATAAATAAATCTATAATCACAGAAGCTAACGTTGCTTTATCTTCTTTTTTCGTATCTTTTTTATAAAAAGATTTTACATGAAAAATGTAGGGTATATAATTGCAATTAAAGAATAGCTAAATTTTTCTCATACATTTTTACATGTTTCAGATAAATTTCTATCTCTTTCTCTAAGAAATGCGACTAAATGAGAGGTAATTTCTGCACAAAATATCGAAACCACATGTAACCTGTGCTTGCAGATAACCCATACCAAGTGATTATATAACTTAAATGTTCGTTTCTTAAAGTTACTCTTGTTTGGCCACCAATTGGACCTCGTGGTGTGCTATACCCAGGTAATAATTCTATATATACAGGTTCTGCTTCTGCTATCTTTGCCATTGCATTTAAATCCCTGGAATTAATATAAATGCTTAATGTTTCACTGGAGAAAATATTATTTCCCAATTACTAAAAATTTTTACAATACAATTTTTTACATATATAAATTAGATATAAATGTCATATATTATATTTTTATACCTGTAATGCCATACCCCTTTTGAAGGAGCATTGGCAGGTACAAATGTAGGTCGTTTTTCAGTTGCTCTAATAACGCCGATGATTTCCATAGAATCTGTAATCTTATTTTCCATTTTAAATGATGCACGATCACTTTTAGTTATCCATCCACGATTCACCATAATAGTCAAACTGAAATAATTATTAATTAATTCTATAGTGTAGAATAAAAAGATCTTTTTCAATAATTAATAAAAGCAAATTGCAATTACTCCCGATCTTCTAGTTTAAAAGGTGTGATCACATAATATCCTGTGCCCGACTTGCGAGAAAATACTCCAGCACTTTTTTCACTGACAGCCTCTCCATCTAGAATGAGACTTCTAGGCCCCATCAAAAATTCCTTTTCATACAAAAACTTTCCCTTTACCTTTACAGGGTAATATTCCTTATGCTTCAGTTCATCTAAACTGGAAAGAACATACTTCTATGAAGTGCCTACATTTAACATAGTACTTACAATATAAATCATCATAATCTTACTCAGATGGCAAATCAATTGGCTCTGCAGAAGTACGATATTTTAGGGTTTTTAATAAATCCAATTTCCATCGCCATCTTTTAATTTGCCATGTGCCAAGTGCAAAAGTAACAATAGGTACACCCTGTATAGAAATTGCAACAGATAAAAATATAAAAATTAAAAATTACCAATAAAATATGTTTTTTTAATTTAAAAATATTATGAATTTCACTTTTTTGTATATGTTTATCTTCATTATATTTATAGAATTAATATATTGCAATCTTAAACATATAATTTATATTTATTTATTTATATTAAGCAATTTTATAATATAAATATACGA